ATTCTGGGAGTTGAAGTCCACTCATCTTAAAGTGGCCAAGTTTGGACAACACTGCCATACTTTATCTCTGAGCTGAAGAGCTCAGACATGTGCTTCTTCTTCATAGCATGGTGGAGGAGGAAGAGGAAGTGACCTCACAGGGTCACCGCCTCCTTCCACGGGTCCATCTAGCAACACAGGATCTGTGGGTTTTGACTGCATTTTTACCACAGAAGGCTTATAGAGGGAAGAAAGCCTTGGGGGGAGCAAGTGGAGCTAGGGCAGTTTATGTAGGCTCTAGAGCAGTGATTCTCAACTGTGGTAATGTCCAGGGATGTGGACTTCAAACCCCAGAATTCCACAGCCAGGATGGCCATTGATGAGAATTCTGGGAGTTGAAGTCCACCCACCTGGAAGTTGCCACAGTTGGGAATCACTGCTCTAGAGCATACCACAATTACCAGTGGAAGAGGGGTGTGTGTAAAGAACAAGACCGGGAGTTAATACAGCTGCTACAATAAGAATGCAGTGATTCTCTGACCTGGATGAGTGATTGATTTGATTGAATATGATTTATATTGCTATCCAACTTGCAAGAGTGATTCTGGATGACATTATTACAATTTGAAGAAACATGAAACCAGGAATTAAAAATAAAATAATATATAAAATAATATATAATAAACCTTCAGAACATAAAAAAACCAGAATAATAGAATAACAGAAATAACAATAATAATAGAAACAACCAAGGCCAGCTTCACATATCTCATTCTTACATACTACACACACTCATCCCACGTTCTGGCTGAATGCTTGGGGGAAGAGTCAAGTCTTTAGGGCCTTGCAGAAGGACAGAGGATCAGGGCTGTCCAAATTTTGGGGAGCATGTTCCATTGGATGGGTGCTACAACAGAAATGAATGCCCCCTGGCATCACTAGGTGACTTTGTTTTGTGGAAGGAGCCCAAAACACGCCCTCTCTGCCAAATCTTAGACATACTGTCTAGAAAATCCATGGTTTGGAACTATACATGATGAATAGCATCTGAAAAAGAATGGACTTGTGTGGCTTCTGTCTTGAGTGATCGATTTAGAAGTTTTACATCATCTCTATATTCGTCCTCACTGGCAACTTCTCATTATTTTGCAGAATGAAGAACCCATCTTCTCTAAAGATGGCAGGAAGTTCTTTTTTGTCCGAGCTATTCCTCAGGGGGGACGAGGCGAGTTCTACCATATTGCCATGTCATCATCTCAGGTGAGACTACCTTAATTTATCAGGTGGGTGAGAAGAAGGTGGATATGCATAGTTCTTATGACTGGATAGATTGGCTGGCTCTAAAGTCACACTCAAAATGCCCTGGGGAAATATGGGTTGAAACATTCACGCAGTTACCGCGGGCCTCTCACGAGTGAGGGGAAAGAAGACACCAAACTGTTTCTCCTTCGAGGGGGGTGAGAGCGCCCAGACCGGAGTCTGGAAACCTTTTTTATTGAGTACATCAGAGGGCTGGGTTAGTACATCAAAGGGCAGGGTTAAGCATATATACGTCACA